CAGAGCTACAATTCTATGCTGGTTTAATAATCACTCTACCTTCTCAGGTAACTCAGGTATCATCAATCTGTGAGGACACTAGTGGTCTCAGCACTACAGTTCTCAGGAGATATGTATATATTTGGGGAGCCAGGTATGCTCCAAGTGGTATTATACTGCTTTAAATGTACAGTGCAGATGGGCCCTACATCTTAAACATTTTATACCTTACCAAGCACAAACTATGAAGGAAATGAACTTGTATTAATAACAGACTAATTCATGTTTAATTACAACTGGAAACTGTGGTGGATATTTCCTTTAATAATTTCACTACATGTTTCCCAAAGAAGTTTACAAAACTGCTTTTGATCTATTGGCTAGATCAGCCCATCCTAGGAATACCTGAGCAAATGACACTGTCATCTTCACGATGGTTACAGTTATGTGTTCCCCAAACTGTCTACTTTTGATCTATTGGCTAGATCAGTCCATCCTAGGAATACCTGAGCAAATGACACTGTCATCTTCACGATGGTTACAGTTATGTGTTCCCCAACCTGTCTGAGAACACTGAAGCAGGGAAGATTCGCTTCCTGTGCACTGTACATTGTCCAGGAGGATGTTGCCAAACCCTTGACCAAAATTGGCCCACATTAATCTTTAAAATCCTAAGAGACTCTGGCCAAAAACCTGAGACAACGCTCCTTCCCTACAGACTCAACCAGGTGTTAAGATTGCCAGATGGGGCCTCTTGGTAGTTCCACTACCCTCAAAGTCTTGGGGTGCTGGTTGCTCAAAAGAGGCCAGATGGGGCCTCTTGGTAGTTCCACTACCCTCAAAGTCTTGGGGTGCTGGTTGCTCAAAAGAGGCCACTGCCTCTGGTAGCCTCTGTGTTGGGGAATTCCTTCCTTACAGAGGTGTGCCTGTCACCTTCAACATTCAGGTTTCAGCAAGTGGTGAATGTGTGCCTCGTTACCCTGATTTGTATTCTCAAGACCCACCCTATTCCCTTGATTGTATTAGTGAACTAGATTAGCCTAGCCTAGAAAATACCTGAGCAGATGACACTGGCATCTTCCTGATGACCACAGTCATGTGTTCCCCAACCTCTGTGAGAACAGTGAAGCAGAGAAGATTCATTTCCTGTGCACTCCACATTGTCCAGGAGGATGTTGCCTGAGCCTGGACCAAAGTGAGCATTTCCTGGTGCTGACAGAGCTGGTCCACATCCAAGCTCTCCGCAGACCACATGTGCATCATTCATGCTCCAAATATCATCACAGACAGTCCCCCAGGCTCTATCATGATATACTTCAAGGCGACCTTCACACCTGTTTCTTCCATTAACTAATCGCAAGGGATGTTCTTTGGAATATGCAAAAAATAAATATTATATAAACAAGACAATGAAACACTGCATTGGAAAACTGGTCAACACAATGGGCACTTAGCACAACTGCATCTTGAGATCTAATGATATGAAAATGCTTGGTGACTCAGCTGCTTTAGCAATTCTGTTTTCTGTACTTCCCTTAAATTTCTAAGTGAATTTCATGGGTCCATTTTTGAACAATGTTGCTGGAGGAATCATGAATTAGACACAATTGCATCTTGGGTTTTGATGATATTAAAATGCATTAGGCATCTAAGTGGTTATGTCCCATGACCAAGCACATTCTTATATTAAACTTCAATGTTCAGAAATCATTCATTTCTATGTATATTAACAAAGCTACAATTCCATGCTGGTTTAATAATCACTCTACCTTCTCAGGTAACTCAGGGAATCATCACTTTGTGAGGACACTAGTGGTTTCAGCACTACAGTTCCCAGGATATATATATATATATATATATATATATATATATATATATATGAGCCAGGAATGCAACAAGTGGTATTATAATGCTTTAAATGTACAGTGCAGATGGGCCCTACATCTTAAACGTTTTATACTGTACCAAGCACAAACTATGAAGGAAATTAAATTTTATAAATGACAGACTAATTCATGTTTAATTAAAACTGGAAATTGTGGTGGATATTTTCTTTAATAATTCCATTATATGTATCCCAAAGGAGTTTACAAAGATTGAAAAACGGCATTTGATCTATTGGCTAGATTAGCCTAGTCTAGAATACCTGAGCAGATGACACTGGCATCTTCACGATGGTTACAGTTATGTGTTCCCCAACCTGTATGAGAACAACGAAGCAGGGAAGATTCCCTTCCTGTGCACTCCACATTGTCCAGTTGGATGTGGCCTGAGCCTTCACCAAAGTGTGCACTTCCCGGTGCCGAAAGAGCCGGTCCACAACCAATCTCATTGCAGACAACGTGTGCATGATTCAGGCTCCAAAGATCATCACAGACAGTCCCCCAGCTTCTGTCATGATATACTTCAAGGCGACCTTCACATCTGTTCCTTCCATTAACTAACCGCAAGGAATATTCTTTGGGACATACAAAAAAAAAATGTTATATAAACAAGACAAAATCTGCATCGGAAAACTGGTCAACCCAATGGACACTAAACACAACTGTATCTTGGGTTTTGATGATATTAAAATGCTTGGTGACTCAGCTTCTTCTAGCAATTCCATTACCTGGACTTTCCTTTAAATTTCAAGGTGAATTTCTTAAGCCCATTTCTGAACAATGCTGTTGGAGGAATCATGAATTACATAAATTACACAAATACTATGTCCCAGGGCCAAGTATAATCTTGTCTTCAATGTTAGGCAATCAAATACCTGTTAAGTGCCGCAGACAAAATGGACACCCCATTTTTTCCACACAAGATTGCGGTAGCCATTTTGGGTGCTGCGCTCTTGCACTGTGCTCCCGTCCAGAAAAAACAATTTTCCCCCAGGTTGAGAGCAAGGTGTGGGTCACATGACTCACCTGGGAGCACTTCCTGGAAGAAGCACATCCTGGTTTTTGGTCTGAAAACCTTGGGCAGTATGAAATCATTCATATATATATATATATATATATATATATATATATATATATACACAGAACTACAATTCTATGCTGGTTTAACAGTCAATCTCCCTTTCTCAGGTAACTCAGGGAATTATAGCTTTGTAAGGAGACTAGTGGTCTCAGCACTACAGTTCATAGTTTTTTTGGGGGGGCAGGGAAACATGAATGCTCAAAGTGATATGATACTGCTTTAAATGCGCCATGCAGATTGGTCCAACATCTGAAACTTTGTATACCTCACCAAACATGCACTTTGAAGGAAATAAACTTTTATTAATAATAGACCACCTAATTCAAATTTTAATTAAAACCAGAGATTGTGGTGGATATTTTCTTTAATAATTCTACTATATGTTTCCCAAAGGAATCTACAGAGATTGGAAAACTGCATTTGATCTATTGGGAAGCTAGATTAGCCCAGCTATAGGAATACCTGAGCAGATGATACTGGCATCTTCATGATGACCACAGTTATGTGTGCCCCAACCTGCGTGAGAACACTGAAGCAGTGAAGATTCACTTCCTGTGCACTGCACATTGTCCAGGAGGATGCTGCCTGAGCCTTGACCAAAACGGGCACTTCCTGGTGCTGACAGAGCTGGTCCACATCCAAGCTCTCTGCAGACCACATGTGCATTATTCATGCTCCAAAGATCATCACAGACAGTCCCCCAGGTTCTATCGTGATATACTTCAAGGCGACCTTCACACCTGTTGCTTCCATTAACCAACCGTAAGAGACGTCCTTTGGGAGAGAGAGAAAACTTTTCAATCTGAAGACTAAATTCTGCATTGCGAAACTGTTCAAAGCCATGGACATTAAACACATATTCCTCTTGGAATCTGATAGTATGAAATTACTTTGTGACCCAGCTCCTTCTCGCATTGCTGTTACTTGGACTTAACCTCAAATTTCAAAAGGATTTTATAAAACCATTTCCAAACAAAGTTGCTGGAGGAATCATGAATTACACAAATTGCATGAGGTATCTAAGGGATTATGTCCATCACCCTAATATAATTTTATACTAACATTCAAAATTATGAGATGTTTTATTTCTATATATTTCAAACTGTTTGGAGAAAATACCCAACATTAAATGAATTTCTTGCTGATCCTTACGAACAAGAAATAAAACTTACCACGCAGTTGAAGACGTTTGGTAGCTGTGAAAAATGATAAAAAGTCATTTCCTTTTAGCATTGATTTTATACACACACACACACCCACACACACACCCAATAATTAAGTAATTTTTACAGCTGTTGTTATTTAAGAATTTGCTACATTACTCTGGTTGCTGAGGATACTATTAGAATATGCATGATCCATATCAGTTCAATGAAATCTTCCCTGCAATCTGATTCGGTGACTGATTTGGTCTCATTGGCCTCCAGGAATAGCTTGAGGACAACCACAATCTGGGAGGCAGTGTCCACATCCCCAACCCTGCATGCTTCTTCCACAATGGCCTACTGCCCTTCACACTGTGGTAAAAATGCCCAGCAACCCTTCTGCAGGTTTTGAGGAGATCATGGGTAGTGAAGGAAGGAGGAAACATGTCACCTAAACATGTCACCTAAACCTCCACAATCAGGTGGAATATGTGGGTGATGCGGTGGATGCCCACAATTCCACTTTCATGTGCCATCTTTACCATATTCACTTCCCCATCCACCAATATTTTCTTAATATTTATCGTTCTCCACATTTCCACGTCAGTTTGCAATGAAAAAAAGGAAAGTTCTTAGGAAAATTCACCACTATTTTCCTGCATGCTTGTATTAAACTTTCCCTAATGCACACATTGTTGCAAAGCAACTTCCCCTAAAATAACACATTTCTGTATGCTGTGTGTGTGATTGCTAATATAGGCATTTCTATGCACACACTTATCTAAGTATCTGTATTTTTGTACAAAGTACTTGGTTGGAAAATTGCACTCCACGATTCGGAGAAGCTTGAATATAAAAGGATGGTTGTTTTGGTTTGTGTAGTGTTTTGAAAAGTACAAATTAATTAAGTCAGCCTGGATAGCTTAGTTGGTTGGCGCTTGGTGCTGATAATGCCAAGGCTGTGGGTTTGATCCCCATATGGGACAGCTGCATAATCCTGCACTGCAGGGGGTTGGATCTGATGATCCTAAAGACCCCTTCCAACTCTACAACTCTATTATTCTAAATTGGCCTTTAAGGTTAGATTGAATTATTATTATTATTTATTAAATTTATATACCACCCTTCACACGAAGATCTCAGGCCAGTTCACAAGATAAAAATACAAGATAAAAGCACAAATCAATAGAACAAAGGCATTGAATCCCCTACCCTATGAGAAAATCAAATTGGTGCAGACTTAATCACAACATGAGGATTGATAATTATTTCCTTTGCTGGATCAAGGTATGTTGAACTAATAAAGTTATCAAGAATGTGAACTTACATGGTCTTCTTGGTTCTTTATTGCCTGTAAATAACAAACATGATACACTGTTATATATAGATATAGATGATATAGATATAGATGATATAGATATAGATATCGATATCGATATAGATATAGATATAGATATAGATATTTAATGCCTTAATCCAGATGAGTCAACACACATGATTCTTCATCTCTAACCAACAACCTTAGCTTTAAGCACATACTCCTCTGCGAGTAAACTAAAAGGCAGGGGAAAGTGGAGTGTATTTAGTTCTCATCACTCTCCCCTCCCTGATGATCAGTGCAGGAAACCTTTCAGATATGGACATGCTCCCAACAGAAAAATAACTTAGTTCTGGGACATTAGAAGAAACTGCAAATTTGCTGATACATGGATTTCATCCATGACATCACTGTGTGGGGAATGGCTGCAGTTCAGTGGTAGAGCATCTGCCTTGCTTGCAGAAATATCTGTTTCAATCTCCAGCATCTCCAGGTAGGTCAGGGCAAGTCTACTGTTAGAAACCTTGGGTTGCCACTGCAAGTCAGCATAGACCGTAATGAGCTAGGTGGACCAATGGTCTGACTTGGTATAAGGCAGCTTCTTATGTTCCTATGGACACCTGTCACTTAACCTGAGGATATTTCACTTAGATATAAGCAAGAAAAAAATGAAAATATTACTCTCATCTGAATCATAAATGCTAAAATTAGAAAGAAGCGTTGATTCCTTTACAACTGATCTCCAGTCATTCAGACATTAAACATACATATATGCATAAAACCATCTTTTTAAAAAGGAAAAAGAAAGAGTACACCTGTGCAGATGACGCCAGCATCTTCTACATGGACACAGTTATGGATTTTCCATCCTCTGTGGGAGCACTGCTCAAGAGAAGTTTCATTTCCTCTGCATTGCACATCATCCAGGAGAATATTTCCAGAGCCTTGGCCAAAATGGGCGTTTGTTGTAGCTAATAGAGCCCGGCCACACAGAGCTTGTCCACAGACCACGTGTGCATCATTTATATCCCAACCATCATCACAGACGCTCCCCCAACTTCCTCTGTGGTATACTTCAAGCTGGCCTTCACATCTGTTGGTTCCATTGACCAGTCTCAATACAGCATCTTTGAACAATAAATTAACTTTGTTTTAGAAGCTATGCTTTCTGATCTCAAGGAGAAAAATATTTCTTATCCTAGTTGCATTTCACTGCCAGGCCCTAAGGAATCATAAAAGTCTCTGGGAAAATATAGATATAAACTAAATTATTAATTTACAGTTAATTTACAGGTACTATATTAATTTACATTTTCAGAAGGGTGTGTTGCACATAGTGGGTTGGATTCCAGACTTACCTATCTTCCTTGGAATGCGAAATGAAGAGAACTTAAATTAGTCATAGTTAGATTAGTTCCTATTGATTTGAATTGTCTACTTTGACTAAGTTTGGTTAAAACCCTCTCTTTTGTACAGCTCCTAAATTTGCAGACAACTCGTATTAGCAATCATTGTTAATTTTTCAGAATTAAAATCCTACTTAATTTTGAAGAAGTTAGGTGTTGGAGAGGAAAGATATACAGATATATATTCTGTGGAAAGTATGAAATATCATACACCCTGTTGTTGTTTAGTCGTTTAGTCATGTCCGACTCTTTGTGACCCCATGGACCAGAGCACGCCAGGCACTCCTGTCTTCCACTGCCTCCCGCAGTTTGGTCAAATGCATCATACACCCTAGCTATCGAATTCTTTTAGACAGGTGAATATCTTTTCTCAACTCAGTTTGCACATGGAAATAGAGTATATCCTATGATTCTGCTTCTGCTTATACTCATTGAATGGGTGCTATATCTTGAGGTGTCAGACAAATTGACTGGCTGATTGCAAGTTTGTATCTTTGAAATAAAAAGAGACATACTAAGTTCCAGAACAACCCAACCGGTGATTAGTGTAACAGTGGATTTTTTCCAGTCCCCTTCAAACTATGTTCCTCATAACAACTGAATAACTGCTCCTCAGTGTTCGGGAGTAAGATTCAACACAATGCAATGGGGCATTTTATTGGAAGAGTGGTGGTTATGGAATTCTTTATTATTTTATAATGAATGCTCCCCACATCAAATGGGGGGGTGCCTTTTGCGTGGTCGCCCACAGCCCCCTGGATCCCATGCGGCTCCTGGCAGTACAGGCTGGCTTCGCCCTCCCCAGGCTGGATACTTGGAGGTCTCCGCCTACCTCAGCCAATTGCCCAATCCCGCTTGGGGAGGCGTTACCAGGGGATTGGCCAGGTAGGGGGAGGGACCACCCTGCCCACACAACAGAGGGTGGCTCTTACCTGGGAATCGTCAGTTGGCTCCACATTTCTAAAATAATAAAAAATAACCTATCCAAACTTGGGATGCTAAGCAACTGATAATGTTTTGATAGACAGAATAAAAGAGACTACACTTAGATATATGTAAGATACATTAACTGGCCAATTGATACACTAATCTAAACCACACATGCTAAACGATGTGGATGTGAGAAACACTTATTCCTTTACAACTGATCACCAGTCATTCAGAAATTAAACAGACATTTAGGAATAAAATGATCCAAATTAAAAAAGGAAAGAAGAAAAGTGCACCTGTGCAAATGACTCCAGCAATATCCTGATGGCCACAATTATGAATTTCCAAATTGTGATGGGGGCAATACCCAAAAGAAGTTTCGTATCCTCCACACTGCACACCACCGAAGAGAATATTGCCAGAGCCTTGGCCAAAATGGGTGCCTTTTGTAGCTGACAGAGCCCATCCACATCCAATTTGTCTGCATACAACGTGTGCATCATTTATGTCCCAACCATAATCACAGACTGTTCCCCAATTTCCTCTGTGGTATACTTCAAGGCGACCTTCACATCTGTTGGTTCCATTGACCAGTCTCAAGGACCCATCTTTGAACCATAAAAAGAGTATCCATTTAGAAATCAGTTTCTGTTCTCAAGAATTTCACGAGGAGAAAACAGATTAGATTGCATAATAAGACTCTAATAAACAAGGCCCTTCCTATCTCTAGGAAGATATAAACTAAAGCAGTGGTGGTTAAGTCATGGTCCATGGACTGCATCCCGCCCTGAAAAGAACTACTTCAATATTTTGCACAGTGTCAAAAAGGAGATCGACTGATACGCATTTTAGGAGAGAGAAAGATTGAATCTTAGTCTATTCAAGTAGATAGCACCTGGAGGACCAAAAGAGCTGATTTGAGAATGCAAGTGTCTATATATATATTTATTGTATTGCATCAGGAATGGAAGTTCATGGATTTATTAGAGTGGATTATGAAAGGCCTCTCCTCCTTCCGGAGGGGAGGTGTTGTGAGCGGGAGATGATTCCCGTGTCATGCAGGGGGCGTTCTGCCCCCTGCCCCACTCACATGGCTGGCGCGTCACGCCCCCTGTTGAGCACCCAACCAGGGGGCTTGGTGGGGGCATGGTTTGCTGCTCAAATGCAGCTGTGCCAGTCATTCTGCCCATTGTGCTCACCTTTTCGCCTCGAGTCACCCACCCACCACTCCCTTTAGGGCTTAGCTTTCTCTTGACCTTGCTATGGACCTATGGTTGGTCGCCCAGGTTGCCCAGGGGGCCTGGTAGGGATTTTTTCCAACTGGCAAATTGGCACCGGCCTTTTGGCTTTTTTCGCCTACCTCGTAGCAATCATCACAACTTCCTTGGTATTTGGCGGTTAGGCATTGGAATGTGTTGTTGGTGTGTGGAAGGGCAAGGTGTGGCCATCGCCTACCCCTTCAATTTTGGGTATTCCGTTAAAGGAATCTGGCGGTCGTGGATCCTGTCTGATGCCTGTGTGGCGGGGGGCTATGGCACGACCCTCGGTGACATCAGGGGAGAGCTTATAGTTGTATTAGCATCAACAGCCTCCACCGACTGGTGGTTAACCCCTCATTAGACTCACCCCTCTTCGAGTGGGTGGAGTCAAATCTTCTGTGGTCCAATGCCTAAGCCAATACCTTCTCACATGCTGTAATCAATAAAGTTGTGGCCTTTTCTCGCCCATTAACCTTATACACTGTGTCCACGTGTCTTTATTCCACCAAGCGGGGATTGGGTCCTCAAATCACAAGCATCATATAACCGCACTGTTGTAGCTCAGAATAATCATACTGGATCTCAGATTGATCTTCATAACCAATTTAAATGAATTGGAAGCACAGAATGAGAATGAGAATTCTCAATGATGAACTGTGTTGGATTCTACTCCCCTACCCACATTAATGAACACATCACAAATTAAATTTCATTGTCTTCATGGATGTTTTAGGGTGACATAAATTAGTCCAAATGCTGCTCTTCTCATGCACTGCCATACCTTGTCTGCACACAGTGCTACAGCTTGACACAATGTCACTAAGCGGCATTGCTGAAATGAACTTTTGCAGGTAAAACACATTTATATCCAAGAAGCAGATCTTGTGATGCTTCACAAAACCAAGTTCATGAACAAGAATTTGGCTCTCTAGGCTACATCCACACCAAACATTTAAAGCACATTTATGGAACTTTAACAGTCATGATTTCCTAGGAAATCCTATGAAGGTTGGAAGGAATTTAAAGGCATGGTGTGGATATGGACAGTCAATAAATGAGAATTCAGGAAACAG